CCTCAACCTCACCACAACTGAGAAAAGCACTATGCTCCAGAGACTCCATCAAAAGCTTAAGCTATTATATCAACTCCACGGTGCCCAGAAAACAAAAATGCCTGTATACAAAATCTAGATAAACTGTCAGAGCACTGTCACGGTACACAATAGCTCACTGTCAGAAGCTCACCAGAAGGCACTGTACCAGCTGTTACAGCGCTTCTTGATGAACTCTCCCCAAGCCCAGGGACTGAAAACATGACTAACACAGTCATCCAGCACCATTAGTATTGGTGCTCATCAGAATGGACATTATTCTTGGCTGTGTGTGAACTACTGCTCAATGAGAAATTCTGACAACATCAATTACATTAATAACATCACTATCCATTTCATTCGGAAACAAACAGAAAAAGGCTAAGCAGGCTAAGTAAGGAGTAATTAGAATAATCTGTTCCCTAAATAAAGAATACTTCAAAGCAGGTTGCTTTGGAAACATTTTAACTTCAATATTAATTTTAGTAAAAATGTACAAACATATATTTAAACATATGTCTAAAATTAAATCTAAAAGTAATCAAAGGTAATCCTTTAAAATTGGGTTTAAGATTAGTCTATTCCACAGAAACATCTGGTTGAGTTGAGATCTTTTAACCTTGGAAATGAGATTAGAAATCCCGTTTTTAAATTTAATTTCTAGTTATTTTATCTGGGTCACAGATAATCTGCTCTTGCTTAAATCTGAAATATCAGATAGTCGTCACTGTGATTATCCTGTTACCTTCTACTATCAATAAGAAGACAGGATCTTCCCTCTCAAGTGGAGAGAAATGATTTATTTATTCCAAGAATAATGGGAGAAAAATTACTGAAAATGGGTGTGCTGCTTCCTCAAAGCCTCAATCTAAACCTAAAAAAGACAGCATTTGTTTTGCCTGTTTGTTGTCTAATAGGTCTATATTCAAGTTATGTAATGACATAGTTTATATAATGAAATAATACCCCTACCAGTGTTTTCCCAAAATGCCTCCTGGTCTTTGGGTGCAGGAATAGGGGAAGGAGGAAGACTTCAGTGGAAGGATTAAATTTATTGTGTACTAGACAGTTCTGATGTCTGTAGAAATTATACATTTGCAAAACATTCAAAAAAGAATGCAGTGTTAAGAGAAATTTTCTTTCTTATGCTTTTTTTTTTCTTTCTTATGCTACCTAACAAATTCATCACTTCTTTCACATTGTGAGAGATGCATGGATTCAAATTATGACCGAAACATGCCCAGGTGTGAAATTTCCTGTGGAGAGTCTGATTTTTTTCATAAAATGAAAACAGCAAGCATACTGTATTTAAAAAAAGTAAGCAAAATCTCTATATTTTTAACTTTAATTAAAATATATTTTATTTTATTTAAATACTAATAATTCATTGGATTTAAAATTAATACTGAGGTTTAACAACCTTAAATAATTAAGCCTTAAAGAGCCTTAAATCAATGTGAGGAGGAGTGCACTCTGGAAACCTTAAAAGAATTTTTTTTTTTTAATCCAAAAAGAGTGATGATAGAAGGTCACTATGAAAGCCCAGGTAAATGGAATTGAAATTTGCTGTAATTGTTCAAAGCACTTGGATTCAAGAGGAAGTAGAGTGAGCAAAGACTGGACTAACAAAGGTATACTTTCCCTTAACACTGCATTCGTTTTTGAATGTTTTGCGAATGTATAATTTCTACAGACATCAGAACTGTCTAGTACAGAGTATTCTGAGAGGACACTATATGTATACAGAAAGGAATGAAAGTTTTAGAGAAAGCATTATAGAACAAATGTGGTTTCTACTTAGTTTTAGAAATAGCAAAACATCAGAACCAACCTCCCCATCTTAAGACAATGAAATGCTGTTCAGTATTATAGCAAAATAAAAAATTCTGCAATTTGAAAACTATTAACATGTTGGCAATATGGAATAGAGTCAGAACAGAATCTGGTATTACACATCTTTTAAAAACCAAGAAATTCAATAAATAATTTTAGGGTCAACTCAGAAGTGAACACTCAAATTTTAGAGCAGGGATTCTTAAAGATTTTGAAGCTCTTGCTGCCAAACTCCTCTCTCTGAAGCTTCTGAGGTTGCCGGGTGAGAAGGAAATTGCTGCCCCCAGCTATAAACCCCAACAGCCCTTATAAGTAACTTGTACTCTTAGCAGCAATGTCCCAAATGTCCATTTCCAGTCATTCATCATAAGAAATCGAAAAAAATCTGAGAATTCTTATTCCAGGAGATACAAATATATACCAATGATTTTGGTAAATCCAAAAGTGAAAATTCAAAAAATGCAAGTATAACCTGGCAATTCTGACATGACTTATAGACAGACTATAAAGTAATTATGAATTAGTATAAAAGTAGAGAAAAGATTTTAGGCAAAGACCTACTCTCGTCTTCACCACTGTTATTAATACCATGTTATTTATCATCATTAGAGAAGTCATGAGATATTAGAAAATATTTCAAGTTGAGTAACAAAAATAATTTAAACAGACATTATACATTCCATGAACAGCCAATAAGAACATGAAGGGAAAAAAAATGTAAACAAGCATTGAGCTCTATTAATGATTTGCATGGTGAATAATTTGCTGCCTGCAATTTATTTTGATATGTATTGAAACACGTAATAGATTGATAGACAGTTTGACATGATAAAGCAAGTATTCTAATGTTAATTGTGGTCGTAATTCACTGTAAATTTAAAATTTCCTGTGTGTTTAATGTTTTTCTTATAAAACCTAGGGAGGAAAGGTTATTATGAGTACCTTATAAAGTATGCAAACATAGGTTATACAAGAAATATGTTTTCCCTCCATTTCTGACTGCATTCTTCCAGTTTTATTCAGAGGCTTGTCACCACTACCTGTATCTAGCTCCCCACCCCTAGGCAACCCCTCATCTCCTTTCCGTTTCTACAGACTTGCCTATTCTGGACATTTCATATAAATGGAATCACAAATACAGGGCCTTTTGTGACTGGTCTCTTTCACTTAGCATAACGTTTTCAAGGTTCATCTATGTTACAGCATGTATCAGTCCTTTACTTCTTTTTATGGCAGAATAAGACCCACTATGTGGATATTCCACATTTTGTATATCCGTTCATCAGCTAACGGACACCTGGATTGCTCCCAGTTTGAGGTTATTATGTATGAATAATGTTGCTATAAATATTCATGTACAAATATTTGCACGGACATACGTTTCATTTCTCTTGGGTATATACCTAGGAGTGGAACTGCTGAATGAAATGATCATTCCATGTTTAACTTTTTAAAGAACTGCCAGACTGTTATCTGTCTGCACTGTTTTCCATCCCTACTAGCAGTGTGTGAGGGTTCTGATTCCTCTACGTCCTGACCAACCTTATGTTACCATCTTTTTTTATTACAGCCATCCTAGTGTGTGTGAAGTGGTACCTCATCATGGTTTTGATTTTTATTGCCCTGATAACCAATGATGTTGAGCATCTTTTCACGTATTTGTTGTCCATTGGTATAAGCTATTTGAATGAATGTGCATTCATATCCTTTGGCCGTGTTTTAATTAGGGGTTTTTTTTTTAGTACTGAGTTACAGGAGTTCTCTATCCTAGATATAAAAGCCCTTTATCAGATATAGGATTTACAAATATTTTCTCCCATTCCATGAGCTGCCTTTTTACCTTTTTGATCTCGTACTTTGAAGCACAAAAGTTTATAGTTTTATTTATCCATTTTTTTCTTGGTTGTCTGCACTTTTGGTGTCATATCTAAGATATTATTTCCTACTCCAAAATTTACTCCTATGTTTTCTTCTAAGAGTTCTATCATTTTAGATCCTCATTTAGGTCTATGATCCATTTTGAGTTAATTTATGTATATGGTGTGAGGTAAGGGTCCAACTTTATTCTTTTGCATGTGTATATCTAGTTATCCCAGCAGCATTTATTGAAAAGACTTTTCTTTCCCCCGCTGAATAGTTTTGGCACCGTTGTTGAAAATTAGTTAACTATATTCATATACATATATCTCTGAACTTTCAATTCTATTGTCATTTATCTATATGCGTATCCTTGTGCCAGTAGCACACTTTCTTGATTACTGTTACTTTATAGTAAGTTTTGATAGCATTTTTTTCTCACTATACATTGTTTTCACTGAACATATTCTGGTAAACACTTATGCTTACATACACAATACATATGCTATACATAATATAATGGGGATCTTTTATAACATACATGATTATTTACACACGTCAATAAATAGTTTCTACAAAACAAATGTGTAGAGGTTGATCAAAATGACTGTGCCTTTTAAGGTTTAATACACACTGACAACCCTTCAAAAAGGTTATGCCAATTTACCACCATCGACGATGTATGAGAAAACCTTAGCCTACATCTTCTACAATGCAGAATATTATCAAACTTTTAAATCCTTACTCAATATAATTTTTCTCACTTTTTGAACTTCTCTGTTGTGATAAATCCCATTTGGCTAATAAATACATGCAAAAAAATAAATAAATAAGACCCAATCACTAATAAAGTGTTTCTAACCAGCACCTCCATTTTTTGGATTTTATCTTAAATAGTCTTAAATTGTTTAAAGAGGAAAAAGAGATGGTCAAAGTAGTGTTATTTGTAATATAGAAAAAAAGATTACACACTAGATGCTGATCAAAAGGCAAAGTGTTAATATGGTATGTTCACTAAACAGGGTATATCCAACTATTAAAAACTGTAAACATGGAGTCTGTAGGCATATGGAAATATGCCAATTTTTAAAAGCAGGATACAAAACTGTATATATACTCTATACACTGATTGTAACTATGTTAAAATTACACAGGCATATGGAAATGAAAATATATAAATGACTATGTGGTAATTTTCTCCTTTCATTTCTAAACTTTTTGTCACTTCTTAGAATTAAGTTCATAATTAGCAAATGTGTTCATAAATACATTACATTAAAAAATATACTTACTGTGATGATGCCAATTAGTTGAGTATAAAAAAGTCCAGTTATTCCAACTAACATAGTAATGCCCATAAAGGCAGCTAGTCTCATTATGGCCAATTCATGTCTAACAACAAAGAGGTCCTATAAGAAGAGAGAAGGCAGACTTAAAAACAAATTGAAAAGTTACTTATAATTGCAGTAACCATCAAGAATTAACCCATAACACTGCCCCTTATTTTCTTAAAAAAATACTCTCCCCCTTTTGAGTTTATTCCACTTAATCACTATATAAATATTTGAAAATTTCAAAAATAATTGTTTTTAATTCATAGTAGCAAGCCAAAAAATAGGATTTTTACTACTCTTGTGTCGAAAAACCCCAATCCTAAAGTTGCAAATTAGCCACACTTACTGTTTGTAGCAAAAACCAAAAAACAAAACAGAAACCTCCAGAAAACACAAACAAAACATATATAATCTTTGGTTACACAAAAGGAAATTTTATTATTATACTGCTAAAGAGTTTGAATGCACAAGCATGACTCATAGTATTAAAGTTCAGGTGACCAAGATACCCAGAGATTATGTGACTTAGTCAAAATAAGGGGGAAATATTAATGATAGGATTGTGTGGACAAGTTCTCTTTAAGCCTACTTCATCCATCCATCCATCCACCCACTCAAACACCACCGCCAAGCACTGCGCTAAGTAATAGAAAAGTAAAAATGGGAAAGATATGGTCCATACCCTGAAAAAAACTGCAGCTTATTTAGGGAGAGAACCCAATTTTATGAAACTCCGAAACAGTGTGATCTATGTTCTACCAGGGATATATGCAGAAGACTGTAGAAACATCAAGCAATGCCTAGACAGGAAGGAGACATGTAAATGCTGTGAGGGAAAGCTGATTTCCTGTCTCGGGGCATAAAAATGAGTGTCTTGAAAGTGAACCCAAGAAAGTGGTGGAAAGACAGGCAAACAAGAAGCATTTCATTTACTCTGTTACCAAGCAGACAGACTCGAGGAGTGAGACGGAGTTCTGGAAACCTACAGCGGCTAAACTCTGCAATAACACTTCCACAGTGGACAGAAGCAACAGATGAATGGGAAGGACCCCCAAAATATAACCACCCACATGCTTTTTTAACAGTGATTCAGGTTAAGGCTTAAAGGTATCCTGGTAGCAACATGAAAAATAGGGAGGTCACCGAACATAATGAGCTTGCTTAAAACAAAAGAACTGATGCTTTTCGATGTATCACTGTGACTATCCACCAAACTCAAGCAGAAATCTGAGTCTACGCCCAAACCGCTCAATTCATTGGCTTGGAAAAACTTAAACTCCACCAAGACACTTACGATGCTGTATAGCAGTCAGATATTAGGCAGTCATTTCAAATGCTCAGTGAAAAGAGCCTAGAGTCCTTACCAATCATGTAAAGATGAAAAGATGGAGCCATGCATGATACAAGAAATTAAGTGCAGAATGGAGCACTGGGTGTTATACGCAAACAATGAATCATGGAATACTACATCAAAAACTAATGATGTAATGTATAGTGATTAACATAATAAAAAAGTTAAAAAAAATTAAGTGCAGTAAGTTCTGCTATAATGCTGTTTGAAAAGACAAATTTGTTCCAACGTGGTCCATACATTAAACAACTTGAGCATAGCAAGAATTCTGTGTTTGCTTATTGTGATTTCATCTGCAAGAAACCCTAGATGAACACGGAAAACTGAACCCAGCTAAATTAAGGCCTATGGGAATACACAAAACACATGCGTACACCCAAACACCTATCGACTACCACAACTGATCCTCTGTGTTAGAAGCCTCACTCATCCACATCTGCTATTACACCTTTCCGATTTCAGATGACTCTCCTTCTGTTACTTCCCAGCACATCACTTACTGTAACCCATCTCTTGCCCACTGCCACAACAACATGGCAGGTCTCTTTTAAGGTAAAGTGTCAAGTTTGGTATCGTATTTATGTATTTCTCAACTATTTAACATGTGTGAAACCGTGCTGCTGATAGTATTAGGTTCTGACCCTTTTGAGTGTCACTGACAAAGTTTCTGAGTGTTGTGCCTCCATCTTCCCATAAGCTCTGTGGTTTTCACTGCATAATTTTACAGAGTAGGGTGAATTTCAGCAATGCACATATGGGGGTCGCCTGGGTGGCTCAGTCGTTAAGCGTCTGCCTTCGGCACAGGTCATGGTCCCAGGGTCCTGGGATGGAGCCCCACATTGGGCTCCCTGCTCAGTGGGAAGCCTGCTTCTCCCTCTCCCACTCCCCCTGCTTGGGTTCTCTCTCTCACTGTCTCTCTCTGTCAAATAAATAAATAAAATCTTTAAAAAAAAAAAAAAAGAAATGCACTTTTGGTGTAATAGTAGAGCTTGGTGTAGAAAATATACCATATATGACCAAATAAAAAGCATCTTCTCTTCTCCCAGTGAAAAGCTCTCAAACAAATTTTGCCACCTAGAATTTATAAATGTTGAGGATGATGAGACTGTAAGATCTAATTCTAATATTACATTTATTCACCAGGTTGCACACTTATACTTAAGAGTATTCGTGTAAAACAGTAAAATACTTTGAGAAATTTCTTTTTATCACTCTTAACATTTTCAAAACATAACTGCATTCCAAGATTACACACACATATTGAACATCTACAGTACTAAATCCAAATCTTGGTCATTTAGCAAAGTTCTTCAGAGCACAACATCTTCACTTTACATTTTTTTTGATGTAGCACTTTTGGGATCTAAAGATTCGCTTGGAAAACTTTATCCAAATCACAAGAACCCTTTTGCTATTCGAGATCTTTCCTACATATTCAGCGTTATGGCTGAATGTGTCTCCCTCAAAACCCATTATGTTGAAGTCCTAATTCCTAGTACCTCAGAATGTGACCGTATTTGGAGACAGGGCCTTTAAGGAGGAGACTAAGTTAAAACAAGTCCCTTAGGGCTGGCACTAATCCAATCTGACTGGCGTCCCTATAAGAGGAAACTGAGAAACACAAGACACAGCTCAAGCACAGAGGAAAGACCAGGTGAGGACACAGCAACAAGGTGGCCCATCTGCAAGCCTGGGACAGAGGTGTCCAGAGAAACCCAACCTGCTGACTTGCTCTTCGACTTCCAGCCTCCAGCACCACAAGAAAATGAGTTTCTGTTGTGTAAGCCTTCCAGTCTGTAGCATTTTGTTATGGCAGCCCTAGCAAATGGATATAACAACTGTATTCCTTTATCATTTTCATTTTCCCCATTTCTTGTTAAGAAATGTGCTTATATCCAGGAAATGCATAAGATGTAAGTTCAGTTTAGAGAAAAGTAACACCACCCTCTCAAGAATGAGAACATTTGACAGCATACAGAGCTTTCATCTGTGCATTCCTTCCCCATCACATTCTCTCCCTCATCCCTACCCTGAAGGTAAAGGTTACTCATTCTTCATACCATTTGGATATTACCAAGTTTTAGTTGTATATTGCAGATACCTTCTATTCTGAGTCTACCGTTTCACTTTCTTTATGGCATATTTTGATAACTCCAAGGGCTTCAATTTAATGTAGACCAATTTATCAATCTTTTCCTTTAGTGCTTTTTATTTCCTGTTTAAAAAACCTTTCCCAATCCTGAGGTAATAATGGCATTTTTCTATATTATCATCCAAAGCCTTTAAAAGCTCTGTAGCTTTGCCTTTCCGATTTAGGTCACTAATCCACCTGGAATTGATGTTTATTCTTTTTGTGCTCAGTGAAATACAGGGGTCTGAATTTATTTTTACTATATGGATATCCATGTGTATTTCCAGAAAAATTTTAATTTAAGTCTTTCAAGTTACAGTACACAATCAGATACACACACACACACACACAAACACACACACACACACATATTTTCTCTATTAAGCTTCATATTTTCCCCCCAGAGGTCTTATACTTTTTTGGCCATATTTAATTCAGGAACTTCCTGTTTCTTGATTCTATTATAAATGGTTTTGCTATTAATTTCATTGTCTAAACGGTTGTCGGCATACACAAGATTTTTTTTTCTAATCTGTTAATGTGATAACAACACTGATTTTCTAACGTAAAAACTGCCTTTCATGTCTAAGATAAACTCAACTTGATCAGGCTGGTTACATATATATCCAGATTCAGTTTGCCAATATTTTGTGTAGAAGTTGTTTATCTATGATCATAATCAGACTATAGTTTCCTTTCATTCTTCATTATCTTTGATAAGTTATATATTCAGCATATGCTGTACACATAAAATGAGCTGGGGAGGGTTCCCTCTTTTTCTGTTCTTTTTAAAAAGAGTTTGTATAAGACTAGAATTATTGTTTCCTTTCATATTTGATAGAGCCAGAACTCACTGGTAAATCTGTGAATATGCTTTGCAGAAGTTTTAACTACTCACTCATGGTTATAGAACTCATCCTGGTTCCAATTCCTTCCTGAAGCAATTTTCTTCTTAGAGCTATACTATGCTTATGATCAGGAAACTCAGTACTGTTAAAGATATTCAACTCTCCAAACTGATGTATAAAATCAATACAATCCCAATAAAAAATCCCCCACCAGCACAGCATATAGTCTACTGACAGCAGTTTCTCTTTAATTTTACTTTGTTTTGATTTGTACAAATTGCTAAGTAAGCTGTTTCTAAATTTCATAGGAATGAACAAAACACAACGAATACATACCACTCCTATATAAAAAGAAAAAGGTGGGAGGGTTTGGCTTACTGCATGCATTCTCAATATAGGTAATATGGCCCCCAAGGAGGGAGAAAATTGGTTCTTCCCGGGGGAAAAAAAATCACCTATTTCAATAGTTTTGTGGCCATACACAAATCAAACCTACCTGACAAAATCTTATTCCTTAGTATTTAATTTCATAGAGGGAAGGGGAGAACATGTCTAAAAAGGCTCCCAAGGGAGCAAAAATAATGAAAAAAAGAAGAGTCTCCACTGAATAACAAGATTTGCTATAAAACTATAGTTATGACATGGTACAACCACAAGGACAGACAAATAGACCAATGGACTAGCAAAGAACCAGAAACAGATACACACATATATGGCTTGGTTTCTGACAAAGATGGCACTGCAG